TCAATTTATTTACTTATTTTATTTTCTGTGTATGAATGTTTTGCTTGCATGAATGTCTGTATGCCACGTGTGTGCCCCGTGCCCATGGAGATCAGAAGAGAGCATCAGATCACCTGGAACTAGAGCTACAGATGATTGTGAGCCACCATGTAGGTTCTGGGAGACAAACACAGGCACTCTGGAAGAGCAGCCTGTGCTCATAACCACTGAGCCAAGTCTCCAGCCCACCCCACCCCATTTGTATTGTCCCCCTCTGCACACCAAACTGGCTTCCATCTCACTATGTATAGACGCTGGCCATAAGCTCATGGCAATCCTTCTACCTAGACCTTGTTGTTGGTGGTGTTTGTTATTGTTGTGTGTGTTGTCTGTTGTCAAGACAGGGTCTCACTATGTAGTTCTGACTGACCTCGAACTCATTACGTGGACTAGGTTGCCCTGTGTTTCCCAAGTACTGGGATTAAAGGCATGTACCACTATCCCTGGCTATTGTTTCTATGTAGCCCCAGGATAGCCTCAACTCATGGCAATTTTTCTATTTTAGCTTCCTAAATTCTGGGGTTACAAGTGCCATACCTTAGTGTCAAACTCTATTTTTGTCCTTATTTTCTGTGGTGCTAGGTATGGTACGCAGGCTTCATGCATACAAGCAGGGCATTCAAGGGCTCTAGCACCAAACAACACCTTCTCTCCAGCGGATCTCTAGAGTAAGGCCAAGAAAGTGTGGGGCCAAGAGCTGAAGTGATGGCTCACTGAATAAGTGTTTGCTGCTCTTCCAAGGGACCCATGTTCTGTTCCCAGCACCTACATCAAGCAGCTCATAACTGCATGTAACTCCAGCTCCAGGAGATCTGCCGCCCACATCTGTATCCACGGGTACCTGTACTCATGTGCTTGTGATATACCCATGCATGAGCACACATGGAATTTAAAAAATAAATGAGTCTTTTTAAAAAGAAGCAGATGTGGACAGCCTCCTCTGCGCCATCCCCAGAGGAAGCAGTAGGCCCAGGGAGCCAGTCCTAACCACAGCCTTGGCCTCCTCTTGTACAGGGATCCTGTGGAATCTGTCCTCCAGTGACCACCTGAAGGATCGTCTAGCCCGAGATACACTGGAGCAGCTCACAGACCTGGTGCTAAGCCCCCTGTCAGGGGCAGGTGGGCCCCCCCTCATCCAGCAGAATGCCTCTGAGGCAGAGATCTTCTACAATGCTACTGGCTTCCTCAGGTGTGCTAAGTGGAGGCGCTGAGGGGAGAGAACCAGGTGCCAGAGAAGCATCAGGGAAGCTTCTAGAAATATGTTCTTTTGACACCTAAATGACAAGGACAGTTAGACAAGCCTGCCGGCAGAAGTAAACAGCAGGGAAAAGATTGGGGGCTGAGGGAAGAGTGGGCTAGACCAGGTGTAGATGTCAGGGCATCCTGGAGCTTTATGATTCATTAAATCAAGTCCCTTGTCCTGATATCCATCTTCCTAAACTTTGCGGAGTTGACTGGGGGATGGGTAATGAGAAGGCAGGGCCAGAAGTATCTGGTAGGATCTAGGAACAGGAGGTCACAAGGGCCAGTCCCAACTCAGTATACAAAGATCAGTGCCAGATAGTTCATCTCCAGGACAGGGGCTTCAAGTTAAGGGTCTCTGAGGTGGGACTTCTAGGGTCCCTGGGGGGACTGTGTGGGTATCTCTGGGGGAGCTCTGATCTGCCTCCATCCCCAGGAACCTCAGCTCAGCCTCCCAGGCCACTCGCCAGAAGATGCGTGAGTGCCATGGGCTAGTGGATGCTCTGGTCACCTACATCAACCATGCCCTGGACGTGGGCAAGTGTGAGGACAAGGTGAGGGGCAGCTAGTAAGCCAAGGGGGTCCAGGGGCTTCGGCCCACTCTGACCACCCTCTGTTCCCTGCAGAGTGTGGAGAATGCGGTGTGTGTGCTGAGGAACCTGTCCTACCGCCTCTATGATGAGATGCCACCCTCAGCACTCCAGCGGCTTGAAGGCCGGGGCCGCAGAGACATGACCGGGGCACCATCTGGTGAAGTGGTGGGCTGCTTTACACCACAGAGTAGGAGGCTGCGTGAGGTGAGCACAGACCTGGGAGACCAGGAACAGGAGGTGCCGGTCTGATACCCTGACCTCAGCAGCACCCTTGGCCCAGGTTGACCCCTCTATCCTCCCACTCAGCTTCCTCTTACAGCTGATGCACTCACCTTTGCGGAAGTATCTAAGGATCCCAAGGGCCTGGAGTGGCTGTGGAGTCCCCAGATCGTGGGGCTGTACAACCGACTGCTGCAGCGCTGTGAACTAAACCGGCATACAACAGAGGCGGCTGCAGGGGCGCTGCAGAATATCACCGCGGGTGACCGCAGGGTCAGTGAGCTGAGAAGCCCCTCCCTCCCCCCCCCCCCCCCCCCCCCCCCCCCCCCCCCCCCCCCCCCCCCCCCCCCCGTCTTGTGCTGGGCACTAGGGCACATGGATGGGAACCACGCCCTAGCAGTTCATGGTCTGTTAGGGGAAATATCCCTAAGAGTAAGACATGAGACCCATGCTCAGCCTGAGGAATGGGGCCCTAGATCTGGGTTCTGATATTCTGAGCAGAAGGGTTACCTGGTCGTGTCCTGAGTTGGCAGAGTAAGCAGGGGTAGCAGACAAGAAGTGAAGACGTGGTGTTCTGCCTCGGTCCTGAACAGGGCTGGCTAGGGCTGGCTGGGGTGCTGCTGGGCTTCACCACGCTCCCCGCCTTTCCCTGCAGTGGGCGGGTGTGCTAAGCCGCCTGGCCCTGGAACAGGAGCGCATCCTGAACCCCTTGCTGGACCGAGTTCGCACCGCTGACCACAACCAACTGCGCTCATTGACTGGCCTCATCCGGAACCTGTCTCGGAACGCCAGGAACAAGGACGAGATGTGTGAGTTGTTCTGTCCCTGGTCCGGCACACAGCCCGTGTCTCCCAAGGAGCTGGCTTCCGGCTACCAAGTCAGATAGAGTGGGAGGTGTGTGTGTGTGCCAGCCCCCTGGGTAGGCAGGTGTTCTGGGTGCCACGGCGGCAGGGACTATGTCAGACTGACCCTAACCTCTTTCATCAGCCACAAAGGTAGTGAGCCACCTGATAGAGAAGCTCCCAGGCAGTGTGGGTGAGAAGTGTCCCCCAGCGGAGGTGCTGGTCAACATCATAGCTGTGCTCAACAACCTCGTGGTAGCCAGTCCCATTGCTGCCCGGGACCTGCTCTACTTTGATGGGCTTCGGAAGCTGGTCTTCATCAAAAAAAAGAGGGATAGGTGAGGAACAACCCAACCCACGGCAACGTGGCCAAGGTACACCCTACCACCCGACCTCCTAGCCTTGACCCTAACCCTCTTGAATGCCCCCAGCCCTGACAGTGAGAAGTCCTCCCGGGCAGCCTCCAGTCTCTTGGCCAACCTCTGGCAGTACAGCAAGCTCCACCGTGACTTCAGGGCGGTATGTTTTACAGAGCCTGGGAACAGGGTCTCGGGGCATGGAGTCCAGTGCAAGATGCAGGTCACCAAGGGAGGGACACAAGCCTGGAACACAGAGACAAGGGGCCCAGGCTCTGCCTAGAACGTTATGGGGAAGGCAGGATTTCAGGGAGAGCAAAGGCAGTCCTGATCTCCCTGTGCCCTCTCCCCTGCAGAAAGGCTATCGGAAGGAGGACTTTCTGGGACCATAAGTGAAGCCTCCTGGAGGTGAAGTGATTCAGCTTCCAAGAGATAGGCTCAGTTCCTGCTGTTCCACAGCCTATGGAAGAGGAGCTGATGGCCACAGGACCGCTCTATCTCTGGAGTCCTGTGTGTGCCCTTGAGGGGCCAGGGCCACCAGGAAAGGATGGGGGCTTGCAACTGGGGATTGATTGGCTTCTGCAGGGCAGGGGAAGGGGGCAGGGCTTGAGCTGGTCTGGTGCTCGGGTAGTGATTTAGTCACAGTGGCAGGGGTGAGGCTGCCTGTGGCCTACAGCCTTGTGACAGCAACACTGGGAATAAAGTGGTTTTGAACATAGCCCCGGCTCCACGTGCTTCCATGACTGGCCACAGATCTTCATGTTTGCATTGTCCCCAAACATGCCTACCTGTTCCAGAAGACACCACTCCAGCATCACACACAGGCCTCCCAAGGCAGAAGACACAGGACAGGGAAGGAGCAGACAGTAGGGATAGCCAGCCTTACTGCTATCCGAAGCATAGACACAGCAGTATCCATACTTCATGAGCAGTAGCTGTACCATAAGCACATCCAACAGCCCCTGTCTGCCCTGCGCTGGCGCTAGGAGGTACCTAGGCTAGAGGATCGGACTGGCTGTCCAAGGCTTGAAGTCCGGTAATATCAGAAACAGGGCTATCCATTTTTCCGTGTAAAATTATCAGCGGTAGCTTCCTACTGAAAGACCTGTCTGGATGAGAAGGGGCTAGGGACAGTCACACTCCCAACAAGAACCAAGAAGGGATACCAGAGGCTATGAGAGCAAGGGATACGCCGGGGTGGCTGAGGATGGAGGGCAGATCTGAGTGGACAGCAGCTTGGGAAACCTGGTGCTGGAGACAATGAAATGAATGAAAGGCCAGGGCCTCGCCATGGAAGCCACAGGATTCCTAGCAGTTACCACCCGGACGAGAAACAGGCCCAGGCGGGAGCAAAGAGGATTTTATTTTGTGAGACCCTGGAGCTACACTCCTTCCCTGAGGGGTCCAGGGCTACAGGCAAGGGTTACGGTCCTAGGGAGAAGGGGTGCCTGCCTCTACCCTGGAAATGCTGCTGTGACCCCACGATCTGGGCTGCTAGGGTAAGGGCTACACATCATCCTCAGACACGAGGCAGTAGAAGTCTGTGCGCGCGCTGTAGTTTCGAGAGCCAAGGTCAGAGACGTCCATTTCACTGCCGGGGCCTTCTCCGGAGATCTTGCTTGCATGCAGCGAGGTTGGTGGCTCCCCAAAGACAGGTCCACGGACACCTGCAGGACACCACAAGGCCTGAGGCTGCATGTCTACAGCCATGTCTACATCACTCTTCTAGAATCTGTGATCAGAAGGGGTTACTCCATGCTCACCCAGCACACACAGTGACACTAGAAACCCTGGAAGTTCCCCCATAGAGGCCTAGGGACAAAACATCTCCCCGGTAAAAGGCAATTAGGGGCTCTGCCAGTGGAGGTCAAACCCCTACAGGAGGCAGGCTCTCTCCATGCCTGACTAAGACCTGGAGCTGTATCTGACCCCTCGATCTGCACTGAGGCCAGATGAGCATACCCAGATCCCCCTCAGGGTCTGGATCCAGTTCTGACTCCATGGCGCGGCCCTGGGCAGCTCTTCCTCTCACGATGAGCATAGGATCTTTGTCATCTTGTAGTCGCGTTTGGGGGTCTCCCTCCACAGGTCTATATTGCACCTTCCGTGGCAGTGCCAGCTGTAGCTCTTTCCAAAAATCGGAGGAAGGCGTCTGGGGGCCAGGTTTGGAACGTCAGTATAAACACATCGGGATCTACGAACTGGAAACCTGTAGCCACCCAGACCCAAAGAGCACTGCTGGTCGCAGGTGCCCTGGCCCTCCAGCACCTCAGGCACCTGCTCCCAAACCCCCAGCCCTCGCACCACGGAGCCAGGCTTCCAAAGCAACAGAGTCACAAGGTGGCGGTGCTGGCGCAGGAGACGGAGAGCGGGGTGCATGGGCTCACGCCTCTGGCCCTCGAAGGTAATGAAGATAGGTCTGCGCGTGAGCTCCAGCAGGCGGCATAGTCCCTCCCTGCGAGAACGGGACCGTCAGACCGAGCAGGACCAGGTCTCCCGGTCCCCCACCCCAAGCCAAGCGCCCGACGCACCGGAAGCTCTGGCTACACCAAGCCCGGCCCAGGAAGGCGTCTGAAAGAACCACGATGAGGCGCCGACAGCGGCTCAGGTTCACCAGAAGGTCGGCAGAGGGCTCTGTGGGCAAGGGTGTGGGCCCGCGGATGAGAGGCGGGGCCAGTGACAAGGGTGGGACTCAGGGAACAGGGTGGGGACCAGGAGGCTGGGCTAGGGCGGTACCCGCGCGCGGCAAGAGATCGCGGTCCTCCAGGAAGAGCTTGTATCCCCGACGCCGCTCCAGCTGAGGCTTCAGAATAAAATTCACAAATTTGCGGTCCTCCGGGCAGTCGCTATAGGACACGTAGGCATCGTATAACTTTCCATCTGCGGAGAAGGTCATTCAGTGTGGCCAGTTATAGAGATACCCCTACCCCATGCCCAGCATTCCTTTGAGCAAGTGAACCAGACCCCAGGACTCTTCCTTCTGTTGACCTGTCTGTGCCCTTTCGAGACATTGCCTTTCCAGGTTGTACACCTAAAGTCCCCCTATAGCTCCCTCCTCCCAGGGCTGAACCCAGCATGCTTCTGGTACCTCAGTAAGGCCCTTGGCCAAATTCTGTGCCCTAATCCATGCGGGACCCCACGTACCATTCATCTCCACCTCCCCATAGTTGTCTTGGTACCAAAGCAGCACATTCAGGCGACACTTAACATAGAGCAGGGCCACCAGCAGCAGCACCAGCAGGACCAGGAGGGAGGCCAGCACGGCAACCACATGGCCAGCAGGGCCTGCAGACAGGGAGAATTACTATTCCCTTAACCTTGGGACTTCAGGAAACCCTTGCTCTCCACCACCTTGAACTTCCTCACCAGCTCTCCAAAGAGTGAAGGAGTGGGAGCTGACATTCCAGACAGAGCAGGTGAAACTTCCATAGTCCTCAGTATTGGTCACGTTGAGCACCAGAACACTGGACACAACCTCTGAGAAGTTGGCGCTGTCCCTGGGAAAACCAGGCCATACCCTCACCTGGGGACCAAGAACATCAGTGGATGCCCGAGTCCCACCTGTCTGGGATTCACCCAGGGAGATTGCAGATTTGGGCTCAGTGGTCAGAATTTGGGCCTGGCTCCCCCGGGGATTCTCTGGTTACAGGCTTAGCTAGTAAACAACCCATTCAGGACTTAGGAGTCTATGCCCAGTCTACAAAATATATACAGGGGTCATGAAGAAATTCTGGACCTATCCCCAAAGTCAAGCCTCTATCTGTGTCCATGGGAACACTTTGCCATGTCAGGTTTGCACAGGTACTACCCAGCCCTTGTCCAGGTTGTTATGGTTTAGGGTGTAGGTCAGAAGACTATTGGCCATGGAGTATTCTGGTGGTTACTCTAATCCTGGACACCTCAGAGTCTTACCAAAAGTCCTGATGGAGGCTGAAGTGGCTTTCATTGCCCAGTGGAAGACCATCTTTTAGCCACTGTATTGAGGGCTGGGGACACTGCGGCCTAGAGACCACCCACGCTGTGCAATTCAAAGCAACTGCACTGCCAAGGGCAGGTCCCAAGTCCAGGTCTTCAGAAGGGGATATGAAATTGGGGGTCCTGTCACAAACACCTGCAGAAAGAGAACCACAGGTCAGCCATGCTTGGATGCCGTCTCTCATCCTGTTCATAGATGTTCTGTGATCAAGGGTGAAAAAAAACAAGGCAACAGGGGAGTGGTGTCAGTGATCACACTGCACCATCCACAGGTCCTGTAGCCAGAGCCCAGGCTTGCATTCCTCTCTCAGTAGTGACCAATTGTGTTCTTCTGGCTCTCATGTGATGGCCTTGTGCTCCGGGGGAACATTAACAGGGAGAGGAGTGGCCAGAGCCATATTTGAGCTGAGCCAGCCCAGCCACAGGGGCCTATCTGTTGGCTTAACCCTAAGGGACACTAGTCCAGCCTTCACACTACCCCTCAGAGCAGGGCCAGCTCCCACCTCCCTCAGCCTGGCTGGCTTCTACGAAAGAGTTGCAGGGACTATGGGCACCAAAAGTTGAAAAAATCCATATACTAGCATCTTTCACAGGACAGGGCAAGCTGGGGCCTGGGCTCCAAGAATCCCCCCTCCACTAACCACAGACCTGTCCTTCTACTTCTCTGAGGCCTAAACTTTTCATCTTTGAGGATGATGACCCTCGCAGGAGGCTGGAGAGGTACACCGCATCATTTCATTTAACACCCACACCCAAGACCCCCTCCCCCGAACTGAGATTCCTAGGCTTACTGATTTCTTTTTTTGTTTGTTTTTTTTTTCTAAAGATAGGGTTTCACCGTGTAACAACCCAGGCTATCCTGTAACAACCCTAGCTATCCTGAAACTTGCTTTGTCTCTGCCTCCCCAAGTGCTGGGATTAAAGGCGCATACCACCATGCCTAGCAGGCTTACTGATTCCTGTCTGCCTCTTCTATAGGCCTTGAGCAGGAGAAGTAGAGGCTCTTATCGTCCCTGCCCGCCGTAAGTTCAAAACCAACTGAGAGAGAGAAGGGATGAGCATAGGCTTTGACCTCTGGCATGTATCCAAGCGCAGAGCTCAGCAGAGGGTGCGAGGTGGAGCCATCCACATTTCCACAGGCAGAAACTGGGGTGGAGACTTGGTTGTGGCCTCCTCTGACCTGCCTACCTGCCATGGCTCTTCCAGGGCCTCTTCGGGCCGAACACTGGTTCCACTCCTGGCTCCACGGGGGCTCCTTAACCGAGCAGATGGGTCCACTGAAGACAGAGAAGGACTCCTTTCTGTCTATTTAGCCAGCTGGACAAGGTACCTGGAGGTCAGAGGTTGTCACCCATACCCAGGGGACAAGTTAAACAGGAACAGGATGAGTTAACCAGTAACCGTCAGCCACCAGGAGTGCTGGCTATACACCAGACAGCTTCCTCGCAACTTCGGCCAGTCTCAGAGTACTGTGTGAGCTCCTAGATATCACAAGGCTGGAGCAGACTCTGCGTCACACAGCTTGGAAGAGGCAGTCCTAAGGACCACCTTTACTTGTCCTGGAGCCACTGTGGTGACCCAGGGATACAGCAAACATGCTCCAAAAAGGATCTAACCTCAGGAGATAGCAGTTAGCCTCATTCCTGGCTGTCCCCTGTATGGACTGCTGCTGAATGCAGGTGGGTGCATGGGTGCTCGTCACCTGGCCAGGACCTGGGGACTAAGGGGATATGAGCCATAAGTGAAATCCAACTGTGAGATTTTGCTCTGGATACAGTCACGCATCAGAATGTTAATGGACACGCCACACGTGGCAACACCTTGAGGCTCATCTGGGCCACGAGAGGTAAATGGGGACCAAGCTAGTATAGAGGCCACTCTGAAGGGCCTTGGGAACCCCTTCCGGGTACCCCAAACACAGATGACTCCTATCTAGGGTCCTGGGCCATTCTCAGCTCACAGCAAGTATACACACTTGGCGCTCAGTAAGCCCTGTAATGGCACAACTGCAGGGAACATTCAGGATGGTCTTTGTTAGCTGCCCAGGACCCTAGGTGACCCCTCTTTCCTTGGCACCCTGAGTTCACTCTCTTTACACATTTCAGTGAGTGCCTGGTCCCCTCCATGCTACCCAGACACATGGGCAGCAGGAGCATGGGGTCAAGCCCCAACACCGTGGGCCTGGCTTGCCTCAGATGCCCCTCCTATACCCAAGGCCCCAGAGGCTTTTTTAAAATACTGTCTCCCTTTGTTCTGCACTGGGTACTGCTCAGCCAGAAATCTCCAGCTTGGCTAGACATCAATCTCCTTGGGAGCTAGTTCAGGAAGAGGCACATCACTGTCAGGGGTGGCAAGGTGATCCTTCCAGAAACCCTTTAGGATAAAGGGCAGTCCTACTACAATCCTGGAAGCTAAACTACTTACCAAGGGTCTGTAGAAGATAGGTTTCTCAATTGGCTCCTCAGAGTGACCAGAAATACATATCCCAGCCCAGCAGGTCCCAGAACATGTCCTGCCATAGCCCTCAATCTCATCAAGCTCAGAAGACAGACCTTGACCCCTGCAAAGGCAGTTGCAGACACTGCCAGAAATCAAGACCAACCCGCCAGGATGTGACTAACTGAGGCAGCAGTGCCCTCTCCTGTGCCCTCTTCTCTTTCACATTCTATGCATGCGCAGCCCCTCTGGCCCCTACACAGCCACACTGAGTTCACCCTAGCCAGTGCCCACACATGTGTCTTCCGTACAACACTGCTCTTCACACAGGCTTTGGGCCGCACACACCTCACCTCACAGGCTCACTCCCAAATATCTCAGGGGCCACAAGCATGCGCATGTGCGTACACACACACACACACACACACACACACACACACACATTGTGTCTTCATGCACCTCGGCACCATGGGCCTCTCCTCAGTCGAGCCTACCTCCAAGAACAGACCATAAGGCCACAGGATCACTCAGAGCAACAGGGAGGGCACAGTCACCTGGTTTCCGGATCTTTCCTCCAGAGAGGAGATAGATGGTCATTGAGGTCAGTAACATGAACTTGTGAGCAAATTGTCCCCTCTGCTGGGCCCCAGAGAGGAGCCACAGTATTGTGGCTACCCACGATGCATCACCAAGCTTGGGCGAGGACCTGGCTTTTGTTGATATATATTTTAGTCAGAACTTTCCCCCTTAGTTTCCTGGCCTTACAGTCACATCCTCTCCTAAGCCTAAACCCCACCCAGGTACCCACCCCTTCCCCTGGTGGGGCGGGCTGTTGGCGGCCCTTGCCCCGCCTTGCCTGGCTCTTCCTGTAACTCTGAGAGGCCCCTTCCTCCCAGGACTGCCCCAGCCCCTAAGCACTCCATTTGTTCCTGTGCTAGAGTGTAGGTGTTTACCTCAAGTGGCAGAGGTTACAGCGATGTGAAGACATCCTGGTGAGGAGACCCCCAGCCAGAATCGTCCTAAATATACACTGGATAGGAGGCGTGCCTCCTAGACTCCATCCCTCCCACCCCGGCCTTTTGGACACAGGTCTTGCTGTGTAGCCCTGATCGACCAGAAACAGTCTACGTAGACTGGGCTGGCCTGGAACTCACAGAGTTCCATCTGTCTTTCTCTTCAGTGCTAAGATTAAAGGTGTGCTCCAAATCTGGCAACACTCTCATTATTTATACCATACTCAGGAGTGGAGAGGAAGAATTATATTATCTGTACACACACACACACACACACACACACACACACACACACACAAGCCCCAGGCGTGACTCACCTCTGACCTACTGCAGCAAAGGGGATCTCTCAGAAACTGGTGACCAATAATGAAACCTAGAGCATCTCTCTGGTCCTTACCCTGTCCACCTCCCAGGCAACAGACTCCAGTGGATGGATAGTCATGACATTAGTTTAGGGCTGGGGTGAGGGAGCAGAGCCCCTTTCCAAGGTCAAGTGCCAAACACAGGAGCCACAAGCCTCTGACTCTGAGGTGGGACAGGCACACACACACACACACACACACACACACACACACACACCACAGCTCATTTTTTCTATTGCTATCACGGACTCCAGGTTGACTTGAGCCATGGGGCCCAGTGGCATTATTTACAGATTTGGCCAAGGGATCTTCTCCAGTTCCTCTCCCTCCCTCCGCCCTCACAGTTGTAGGAGTAGGTCCAGGATACTCCCCTGTGGTCTTCCTGCCTCTGGTTCAGGCCACCCAGGAGCATCCTCAATGCAGGAGGCAGGCTTTCCTACTGCCTTACCTAATGATGACCCAGCCTTGTTTAAACCCCTGTGGCCTGGTATCCATGCCCTCTGGGTGATGATGCCCCTTAGGCTCGGGGCTGGAAAGGCTGCTGGGAACAGATCCTTGTCCTCTGTACTTGTGGAGCTGCTGGCTACCTGAAGCCTCCTCATAGGCACAGTAACTAGCTGACCTCACCAGAGACAGTTCTGTGCTCCCCATATTGTGAGTAAAGAAACTGAAATGCAGGGCTGGAGAGAAGGCTCAGTGGGTAGAGAACTGGTTGCTCTTCCGGAGGACCTGGGTTCAATTCCCAGCACCCACATGGCAACTCACAGCTGTCTGTGACTCCAGTTCCAGGGGACCAGCATCCTCGCACAGACACACATGCAGGCAAACACCAATGCACGTGAAATAAAAATAAAGAAATTAAAAAAGCAAGAAGGTGAAATGCAGCAACACTCAGGAGCACCCGGATCAGAAGTGAAGAGGTAAGTGTCCCAGTACTGAGGTCAGTGCCTTCAAGCACTTTTCCCCCCGCACCTAGTCTCTGTCATCCTCTCCGGATCTTAAGTCGATACCATTCTCCTTTCCTCTGTCTGCTAACATCTACCACCCTCTATCCTGCCCTCAACCCAAAGGGTTGGGATGCCTTTTGGGGTCAAACGACCCTTTCACAAGGGGTCACCTAGAACCATCGGAAAAGGCAGATGTTTACATTACAGTTCATAACAGTAGCAAGATTACCGTTATAAAGTAGCAATGAAAATAATTTTATGGTTGGGGGTCACCACAACATGAGGAATTGTATTAACTGATTGCAGCGTTAGGAAGGTTGACAACCACTGCTCTATGCAGTACCCAGCCTCAGGCCAACCTTGCATTAAAGCCCAGAGAGCCTCAAACACTTGTCCCTGCAGCCCTTTGGAGGCCCTCCAGGGTCTGGGAATTTAAACGCCAGCCTGGACCCTCGCAACACTCCGCATTGCCTCCACCTTATGAGATTCCTGGAAAGCCCAGGTCCTTCTCCCACCAGGCCCAGTCCTTGAGCTCTACCTGCTGCCTGTGCTATTGGAAAAGTTAATACCTGGGGCTGAGAACCCCAAAGTCAGAGCCCGCTCCCCTCTTTTCAGGTCTGTTTTGCTGCTCAGCGTCCCCGCGGCCTGGGTTTTACTTCTACTCAATCAACTCTTGACCAGTGCTGCTCCAGGTCCTGGCGCATGCTGGGTTCCCAGATATTTTTTTTTAAAGGAAGGAGTGTGCATAAAAGGCCTCAAGGAGACCGATTCCCCAAATTCATCTTGCTCCTGCAACTTGCCCTTGGTCTTCTGTGGGTGGCAAAAGACCTGACTCCCCCGGCAACAGGTGCTGCAAGCAGGTCTATTAGGCACGCATGCAGAAGACGGGAACGCGCACGGAGAGCGGAAGCGCACCGAAAGCTAATCTGGACGCGCACCGAGTCGGGAGCTCGCAAAAGGCGGAAGCTTTGCTGGGGTCTCGTGAGCCAGGGGCTCAGTCAGCCCCTCAATCTGCCCGGGGTGTCCTAGATTGCTCGGGGTTGAGATACGCTCGTGGGAGTGAAGATGGGGTTTTGTGCCCCTGGCCCGCCTCTGCAAGGCTTGCTTGCATTGAAGTCAAGAGGAAAGCTATTTGATCACGTCGGGCAGAGTGAAGAGAGCGAAACCGGGGAAGGGAACTGGGCGCAGCGCTCTCAAGCTTCCGGGCCTGCTGGAGAAACCCGCCTGGTTCAGAGCTACTTCCTGCGGGACCATGGCCCCGAGGCTCCTCGGAGCAAAGTGCGCCCAGGTCCCCAACCCTAGAACTAGAGCGACTCCAGGAACCACGACCTCTACTCACCTGCTCACCTCCACGCGTCTGAGTCACTACTGTCACCCACCTACTCTCAGACCGGGGATTCGAGCGGAAACTGGTCGTTTACCTGGCCTAGGTGCGCAGCAGCGACAGACCCAGCGGCAGGTGCAGCCCCGCCCCGCAGGCAGGGCGAGGGCGGACCCTAGAGTCCCGCTTTATGCCTGAAGCTAGTACCAAAGACTGTTGGGAGTTCAGTCTTCAACCTTCCCGGCTTTGGGGCAGTGGCCAAACCAGCTCAGCCAGCCCAGCCAGCAATGAATGGGTCACCCCGCCGACCATCATGGTGTTCTGCTTTTCTAGCCTGAGTTCTTCAATTTCGTCCAGGAAGTAAGTCTGTCTTGATCCACACCCCCACCCATAACTGATCCTGTGTCTTCTCTTGCCACCCTAAAATCCAGATATTTGGAAAGGAGAACCTTCTTCAATAAGTTGTGCCTAAGAGATGAGGCAAATGAGAGAAAAGCCAGATGGCCTGAGGCTACCACACTTCAGACTTGCCGGGCACTGAGCACCCCTCCTCTGTTTAGCCCAGGGCAGAAATAATACCTAGAAACTGGATCTACACCGTGAGGCTCAGAGATCAATACACACAGGTTTATTTTGTTTGTAAAAAGTTTTATCGATGGGGGAGCAGAGGGCAGAAGTTAGTCTCTCTGGGCTTCCCACCAAGTAGGAGGCCACAGAGCAGGATCTGGGGCCCAGAAGCCAGGAGGTCCGTGGAACTCGGGCTAATTTTACTACAGTGGGATCTTACGAGCAGCCTAAAGTTCTATGGGTACTACCCAGGGTCACTGAAGAGTTTCAAGTCAGGTCTGTGACACATTCGAACCCTAGGAAAGTTAGAACAAACTCCACAGGCACATCTGTGCCGATCATAAATACCCTCAAATATACATGGAATTCCAGTGATCCCCTACGTATCCAAGAGTCTCCCTTGGTTAACATATATAACATATAATGTATGTTTCTAGGGAGCCCAAATATGCCTACACATATTCAAGGACCTCCTATGATCGTCTTTCACTGACGTATATGTAGACCACCGAGGACCCTACATATACATGGACCTTTTCACAGCCTCCCTCAACATACACATACACACTGTCATGGACAGAGGCAAGCTGCAGAGATGGGGCCTCCTTCCTAGTCCAGGCTCCTGGAAATCAGCATTTCTCCGCTGCCTCGGGTGGTCTACACGTCTGTGCTCCTAGAACTGAAGCTACAGGAAGGATGACGTTGGTACGGGTCAGGGGCCAGGCCTGTCCCCAGACACAGACCTGCCCCCAGCCAAATGGGCCACTGCATCCGTACCACATTTTGTCCCGAAGTATCTGGTACTTTTCCTCCAGAACCTTATTCTTCACTGATTGGGGCACATCGGGCACAAACCATGCAGCAATGAGCTTGATACATAAGGCGACATGCTGCGGGGAGGAGGGAGGAGAGAGACCCAGCCAGGTTAGGATTTGGGGGCTGGGAAAGAAAAGTGAGACCTGCCTTTACTTAGGCTCCCTCACAATTCTGCCCACCTCAAAGAGGATGACGAAGGCCAGCCGGATGGCCAGAATGAACCAGAACTGCTCAGACAAATTGTAGTCACGGTCGTTTCGGTAGTCCCGGTACCTGAAGTAGGGAAGTCCCTAAAGTCAGGACTCGGGAGTTTGGAGGGCATTTTATGGGAGATAAGAGGCTCCAAACCTGCACACAGTCACATTTGCTTGGCTTCCTATCTTGCCATGGTCCTGGAAGTGCTTGGTGTAGAAGACGGACAAGCTGTGGTTGACATAGCCCTCGAGGCAGCTGGAGAGAGAGAAGTGTGGGACCCTGGTGGCCTGAGGCCTCTCCTGAGAACTCACCTGCATCTAGGGGGCACGAGGGGAGGGCGTACCATGGAAGGCCACACTGGGGAGGGGTGAAAGAGGGCTGAGGGGCCACCAACCGTCCTCCCTGCCAGGCTGGAAGAAAGCTGCTAGGGCTGACGCAAAGAGCCCCAGTCTGCAGGGAGCGAGACACATTTGTGCTCTGTCTTCCCGTGCCGGAAGCAAGGCAGAGGTGGATCACTTCGCAGGCAAGCCATTTAGGTACTGGCTGCTCATTACCAAATGGGCCTGGTACTTCTCCCCCTACCAAGGCTCCGTCAGTTATTCCTGGGATCCAGCCAAGGTATGTAAGTCATGTAGACAGTTCAAGGAGTAGCCAAGTCCCAGCCTCACTGCAGCCTCAGATAGCCCTGGTAGCACCCAGATATACCCAGAGGAGTCCCAGGTCTGGGCTCCGAGGGCTTAACCGGAAGGAAGGGCCAGTGTCTCGGGGGGGGGGGGGGACTTGACAGTTTAACGCCTTACTCAGCTGTGAAGTTCCTGTTCTGCGTGCATGGGCCATAGTGGTACTTGTAGACTATTCTGGGGATGAACTCGGAGGTGAAGGCGATGACCATCCCATTCGCAATGACTGCCAGCACTCCAATGGTCTCCAGTACCTGCAGCCAGGTCCCTGAACCACAGCAGGGAAGTGAAACAGCCCGTCCCGGTCATTGGTAGGCTCCCACCCTAAAAACTTAGAAGCTGGTTGGTTAAGGAACCTTGTGAGCTCTCCATTCACGGTCCTATTGTAGCCATGTGGGCCAGATTACCTACAAGGAAATCCCCAGCTAAGACAGACGTGGTATGGCTGTACGCGCTTCTCCTTAACATAAGCAGTGAAGGACTCAGCTTTCCCCATCCCATCCTTCCTGGAACTCTTCGACAGGTTGTTTATTTCCTGGACCCCACCCGAGTGAGGATTCGTAACCTGGGCCCTAGCCTATGGTTCTTCCTAATGCTTCTCCCCACATCTAGCAGCTAAACCCTGCTTCCCGGACACCTGTCATTCCCACTATGGAAAGTCCGGATGACTGAAGCCTTGGACTCTCTGTTCCCTCCCATGTGGATCAGACTCCAGCTCTTCCTCATGGTCCCCTTGAAGGTCACAAGACCTTCAGCCAGATACTGGAGGCTCGGGGGAGGGCCTTGGTGGGTGTACTCTAGTCTGCCTTTTTCTAGGGATTGAGCTCATGAGGTTTAGTCTCCATAGCTGGAAAATCTAGGATCTGTCTCTGGAGTAAGGGGAAGGGCCCCAGCGATTACAAGTTGCCTCAGGGTGGCCCGGCATTGACTGGTGAAAAACCCAGGGTTGGACGTTGCTTTTCCCGGCACGCTGACTGTTCTCCTCCACTGTACAATTTGTGTGCTCTCTGACCTATGTCGTTAGCCTTGCGAGGAATCAGGCGCCGCTGTAGTCTGACCATCTTGATGGCGTCCAGGCGGATCTCCACAAGGTTGCTGAAGAGTGCCAGTAACGGTGCCAGTGGGAAGGCAGCCACAAAGATGGTGGTGAAGCCATACTGGATCACTGCAGGGTGGACATGTCCTCCTGGGTCCAGGACAGCCCCCCACTTCTCACCCTGCACACCCACCCCATCTGTTCAGCCCGCTGGAGCTTTACGTACTCATCTCCATGAATTCATCAAACAGGCTGAAGGTGTTGACTGGATTCATGCGGTAGTTACGCTGCCACTCCTCCAGGTCTGGGTCTTTGGACTTAATGCCGCGTTTATAAGCCCGCATCAAGCGGTATTTATGGGCAAACCACCTGCGGGCACCAAGAGTGTGTGGGACATACAGAAAGATGGCAGGGCACAGGGACTGGCACTATAGGAGGCTGGGGTGGGGTAGAAAGAGGTGCTCACGGGCGCAGGTACTCAATACAGTTGCTCAGGGTTTGCTTCAGCCCCATGATGATGGCCATCTGGATGAACAGGTCCGTCATGCAGCCACTGAGATGGCACTGTGGGGCCATTGTGAAGGTCAGGGATGGCGCTCAAGGGAGGAGAGGGACTCGAGAACTAGGCAGTGGGGTCTGAGGACAGACTGACCTCCTCTAGCTTCCACAGGCCGGCCAGGCGCGTGGACTTCCCAGGGTGACCATTGATCCTGGGGAGAAAATCAAGGCCAATGAAGAAGCTGACTACAGAGCAAGTTCCAGAATAGCCAGGGCTATAACAAAGAAACCCTATCTTGAAAAATAAAGAAACAGGGCCTGGAGAGATGGCTCAGAGTTTAAGAGCTCTTCCAGAGGTCCTGAGTTCAATTCCCAGCAACCACATGGTGCTCACAATCATCTGTAATGAGATCTGGTGCCTTCTTTTGGCCTGCAGGCATACATACAGACAGAACACTGCATACATAATAAATTAAAAAAATCTTTTTAAAAAAAAACTAAAGAAACAAACAAAAATAATAAATACCAACAATAAAGCTGCCATGAATGTGATTTATGGGTTCTAGGGTTCACCCCAAGTCTGACGTCAAATCTGACAGTGTCATCCACATTATTTTGTCTTTAAAGTCATAAAAGATACACAAGCAAGGGGTCGTGTAATCTACAATTAAGGAGAGTCGCTGTGGCCAGGCATGTGACAGAGGAGTCCCTTCCCGACGTCCCTGAGAGGCCATTGTGGGAAACTCTGAAAATGAAGCCTAGATCGAATTGGAGATGTTAGAGGTGCCAGAGCCATGGGATATCTGCTAAGGAGAGCTCCATGCAGGGAGTGGACCCAGCTCGAGGGAGAGAGTGTGTTGCAGGCAGCAAAGCCGGGAGGCCGGAGCCATGTAAACACTTTGACAAGCAAGGGACATGGAGCTACAAGATTTGGAGTTTGTCCTGCTGGGTTTTTCAGCCTTACTTTTGTCCAATATTTCTGTTTTTGTTTTGTTTTTCAAGACAGGGTTTCTTTTGTGTAGCCCTAACTGTCCTGGAACTAGCTCCATAGACCAGCTGGCCTTGAACTCAAAGAGATTGGCCTGCCTCTGCCTCCCAAGTGCTGGGATTCAAGGTGCGCACCACCACCACCCAGCTCAGTATTTCTTCTGCATATCCCTACTTCTCCTTTTCATAACAGTAATGTTTATTCTGTGTCACTGTGTGTTGGAAGTATGTAATTTGCTTTTTTGTTTTACAGGGCACTAAGATTACCTGAGTCTCAGAAGACTTTGATCTTTGAACTTTTAAAAGCATTGAGACTGAAGGACTATAGAGACTTTTGAAACTGAACTGAACACATTTGGTGTTGTGATAGGGTCCTGTCACAGGGGGCCAGGGTGTGGAATGTGCTGGTTTGAATGAGAATGCCCCTCATAGACTCATAGGCTTGAATATTCGGTCCCCAGTTGGTAACACTGTGAAGGATTAGGGGGTGTGGCCTTGTTGAAGATAATGTCACTGGAGCAGGCTTTGAGGTTTGAAATCTCTCTCTTTCTCTCTCTCTCTCTCAGTCTGTCTTGTGGTTGTCAATCAAGATGTGAGCTCTAAGGTTTCCTCTGCTCTGCCATCATGGACTCTAACCTTTGATACCTTAAGCCAAATTAAATGCTTCTATTTGTAAGTTGCCTTGGTTCTGGTGTTTTATCAAAGCCATAGAAAAGTACCTGAGAAAAATAGGAAAGAAATGGCAGGAGGGGACGGTACTCTGAGGCACCTTACTCTAGGTGTGCACAGGCTCAGATGCATCCAGACAAGGTCTGTTGAACATGACCTCTGTAACTCCCCATGGTGACTGCACACAGTGTCATTTTGTGCTTAAAAGCGTCTGCTTTCCCGTCCCATCCGGTGGCCACACTTCCAATGCCCGCACTCAAAAGACCGAAGCAGGAGTGCCATGAACGAGAATACGGAATGCGAGCCTAGGTCAAACCAAGCCACCTGCCCCCCACTCCGCCCCGAGTGCTGGCATTGAAGGTGTGTAACTAAGATCTGGCCACTTTAAAAAGCGAGAAACAAGCCAGGCAAGCTGAGGCCAAGGGAGCTGGGGGCCGGGGCGGAGGACGGGCAATTGGGACAGTGGGGACATACCTGCCCAGAATGAAGGCGATGTAGATGAGAGAAGAGAAGTGGGCGAAGAACTGCAGGATGAAAAACTTGACAGTGAACTTGCTCTCTCGCTCTGAAAAGGTCCTGGGATCCTCTGGAATGAGACATGGCCATCCTGTCTTTCCCTAGACCGATAGGACATCGTGACCTACACCTCTCAAGTGAGAGGACCCAGAAAAGCAGGAAGTCCCCACCCCACATCTGATCACAGCTCCATGACTCTCAGCCCCGAGTCCTCCCCAGCTCCCAGAGAGAGGCTGGCCTCTTCTCACCAAAGCTACAAAGCTTCAGGGCTACATATTTGTTGACCTGAGGGAAGAAGGAACCAAGCGGGAGTCACCTAGAACTTCAGCCGAGCCCCCCAGGGCTCCCCCTGCCTGACTTCTACCTTGGTCATGATGACTATGATTACATAATGCACCACGGCTCCGGTCACCACCACGACAGTCGTCACCTGGTGCTCCATGATGCTGCTGAACAGAGCAGCGGCCACCACACGGTAGACGACCAGCACATGGGCCATGCCAATCATGAAACAGATCTGCGAAGGGTGGGGGGGGCCGCCATGAAGGATGGAGATAGCTGGGTCTCCAGCCCTCAGCACAGTTCCCGGCAGTACCATGAACAGGGACAGGATGAGAATGATGGTGCTGCTCAGGTAGGAGTGGTGATGGGTCTTCAGCTTGTAGTCTGGGCAGTTGATGAGCTGAAGGGCCATCTCTTCCTAGGAAGGTCACCAGACACGCCTCAGATACACGGACACAGGTATGGGCCACGTGGGACACTGGAAACAGGCAGCCTTGATGCCGATGGCCCCATCCTACCTCTTCCTTATCCCATCCGTACAAGTCCCAGTGCAAGACCACACGGGCGCGCTGCCGCTTCCAGATCTCCAGAAACACTGTGGCTGTGGTGAGCACAGGGAAGTGTCACAGCACACCTGGGGTGAGCTCAGGCTGGCTGGCCCTAGGACCCTGCAGGGATGCCCAGCAGTAACTCACCCCACAGAGCCATGAAGATGGCAAACACCACAGTGCCATCATTGTCAAAGAGATGAGTGAGCTGAGGAGAGGAGCAGAAAGGCTCATGCTGGACTTCCTACCCATGACCTCAACGGGGAAGGGAGAGCCTGGCTCTTCAGGGCATCCCGGTGCCTTGTCTTCCCCACTTCTAGAGGGACAAACTGTGCCAACCCTTGCATACGCCCTGGAAAGACTCTAGTAACACCAAACCTTCGCAAAAGCACACATTCCGGAGAGTGGCTGGTAATTGTGACTGTTGTCACCAAGGGGGCACATATAGATGTCGTCTGCCGCACAGATCTCTTTGCTGGGAGTAAAGAGACGAGACCAGTGAGTCTCAGGTGCAGGCTCCCACAGCCATTGCTAGCCCTCGGTGAGACTGCAGGCCTCGAGCCCCAGCCCACCTACCTGATCTGGCTGGAATTAAAGAGGGCGAAGCCACTCAGGAAGATGACGAGGCCCACCACAGCAGCAGGCACCAGCATGTAGGTGTACCAGCCAAGCCAGGCGAAATACAGGGCCACCTTCTCGCCGAAGTAGTTCCTGTGGGAAAGCTTCCCCATCAAGGCCACCCTCCCCAGTGGCCTCAGGACCTGATGGGGTGAGGGCATATGAAGAGAGGCTGGGGAGGGGGGGCTGCTGGCATCGGTGTAAGTGGGGACTCTCTCTGTCACCTAGGACTGGATTTACTGGGTCACAGGTTATCTGGTTTGAGCACAGATGTGGCACAGAGGTGAACGGCTTGGTGTGGTCTTACCTAATGTCATCAATCGGCTGTTTCCGGAACATGTTTCTCCATCGGGCCCATTTTCTCTTCAGTTCTTTTTCCCCCTGCATCACGGAAGACAGGCCATGAGAACTTGGCATCCTACCTCAGGTTCCCACCCTCAGGCTCGTTTTGAACTTGTCACCCCCTCACCTCGTGCAGAGGAAACATGGTCTCAAACACTCCATCTTTCACTAGATCCTCAAAGGTATCTAGGGGTTACAGGGAACCTGTCAGAGAACAGCGGAGGGTAGGAGAATCCAGCCCACAGCATCACCCTCCTCGGCCACCCGTCCATCTGTGCTTACCACCGGGTTTTGCCTTGTTGTTGACGATGAAGCTCACAATTCGGATCCTGAAACCCAAGAATCTAAGGATCAGAACGGCCCCATGATAGCCTAGTGGACCCTGCCCCTTAAGGCCCTGTTCTCCACCCTCTCTGTTCTGGAAGAGGCACTCCAGCAATACTGACCAGAACCCAGAGGCCATAAATCGCCCTGAAACCCTGCTCGGGTCAGGTTTGCCTGGCTTCCAGGACAGGGTCCTGCCCCTACTCTTGGGGTTCCACATCGAGCCCCCACTTCTTACCACACGCACTTGTGCATGCTGAGTGTTAATGTGCACAAGCCCTCTTATGTGGTTATGAAGCCTTCTGCTTATGTGAAAACTGATGTTCAGAGGTTAGGGTAGCTTGCCCAAGGCCACACAGGCATTTGGAGAGCCATACTCAGTCAGATACAAGTTCAGTGTCTGAGATACAGTCACCTTGTGAACACATGGAAAGCCCCTCTGCGGGTCTGTCTTTCTTGTGCCCTGAATCAAGGTGCCTCTACGCTTCTGATTTCCCCTCAAGCCACCCCAGTACCAAAAAATTCTGTGTTCACAGGACTCTGTTGCCTGGTTCCTAATTCCCTGACTGTCCTTTGCCAAAGTCAACTAGATAAGCCCCCAGATAGCGCTGCCTGGGGTGGGTAAGTGACACAGAAGGACCAGAAAGGGGTGCATGAATGTTCATGGAGGAGCAGGTATCTGGGGACACAGGATGCTGTCCCTATCAGATAGCCAGGAGCCAGATGTCCAGAGAGGGGATTCTGAGCTGATGAGGAAGAGATCTATGGGAGATAAAGACCTCAGAGACTAGAAGGGGTGTCTTCACTTCAGGGCTGACTTTGATTCAAGGAAAACCATGACTAGGAGTTCGCACAGGATGTCAAGAAGTGAGCTGTTGTTGTGGAATATTATTTATCTGAATTGTGTAAAGGTGTGTTACATTTGTTTATGCTGTGGAATATTATTTGAACTGTACAAAGGTGTGTTATATTTGTTTATGCTGTGTAAAGGTGTGTTACATTTGTTTAGGCTGCATTTTTTACAAATGTTGCATTTGTTCCGTTGCCCACCTAAGGCACCTGATTGATCTAATAAAGAACCAAATGGTCAACAGCTAGACAGGGAAAGGATAGGTGGGGCTGGCAGACAGAGAGAATAAGTAGAAGGAGAAATCTAGGTGTGTGTGTGTGTGTCAGGGAGAACAAGAGGAAGAAGAAAAGAGAGAGCAAGGGAGATGCCCGGTAGCAGAAGCCAGGCAGCCGCCGTCAGACATGTGAAACTGAATATAAGGTATAAAGAAGGGATGAAAGATAAAAAGCCATGAGGCAAAGGATAGAAGAAGAGAAACAGGTTAATTTAAGTTAAAAAGAACTAGCCAGAGACGAGCCTAAGCTAGGCCGAGAATTCAAAACTAATAATAAGTCTCCATGTCAGGATTTGGGAGCTGGTTGGTGGCCAAAAAGAAAAGCCCGGTACAAGCTGTCATTATTACTATTACAAAATGAATCCTGGGGCACAGAGCCTTGCTCAAAAAGTGGGGCCTGGTCCTCTGTGACATCCACGCTAAGACTGTATGGAGCTGTATTGTCCTTCCTCAGGCGGGATGTGGCCCTTGTTCTGCCTGGACACAGGGCAGGGGTTCTCCTGGCTGGGCTCTGGATACATCCTCACCTTGTGGTAACTGGGATGGAGTTAATATTGCTCAGTTTGGCTCTGGGGCCAGGATCTTCGGGCTTCATGAGAAGAGTCCGGTACAGGTCAAAGATCCTACTGTCAGCACGAATCCCAAAGAACACCTTCTTCTGGTCCTTTATTATCTTGGGAGCCACAGGGGAACCAACTCATCCACAGCCACTATCCTGTCCCCTGTTCCTGGGACATATGATGTGGCATTCCCCATGACTCAGCCCCTGATGCAAACTAACCCACCTTGTAGTGGAAGCCCTTGCTTTCGAGTTTCTCCAGGAACTGCCGTTGCCTCTGGACCTGCTTCTCGGATTTCTGGGTCTGGAGATCAGCCACCAGGACACAGTCCCATTGATGAGAGTCCTCAAGCTGGAGGAAGAAGGCACGGGATAGAAACAGAACACTGGACAGAGACAGGAAGAAATGTAGATGTGGAACCTAGTGCAAGACACAGGATAGGAAAGGGTGTGGGACAGAAAGCCAGCATAGGATATGGATATGGGAAGAGGTGTAGGACCATAACCAAACACAGGATACACAGAGTAGGTGAGGAGCCGATGGAATCAAGCGTGGGAGGTCTGATCAGCCTCACCTTACAAGTTCCCCTTTCCATCAGTGGCAAGCAGTCCCCTTCTTGCCCCACAAAGATCTGAAGGCTCTCATCACCCTGGAGAACAGAGAGGAATGGGGAGATGAGCATGTAGTTCTCCTCCTACATTCTCTGAGTTGGTAAACAAAGCAGCAAGATTCCCTACTCTACACCAAGCTGGGGGGTGGTCTGCAGAAACTAGTTGGCAAATAGGTCATTCCCGGTGGAGGTGAGGTTGAGGATGTCACAAGGGAGCAGAGGGTGACAACAGAACCAGCAGAGTCTGTGTGGTAACACCAAGGAGTTCCTTCAGGGCTTCCAGGAAGGTCAGACAGCCCTGTTCCTCCACGACAGACAGGGATGTCACTGAAAGAAGGCCTAGCGAGCTCTTAATGGGTGAAGAAATGGCAACCTCAGAGAATCAGGGAAGGGCAGGTCAGAGTCTGAGGATGCCAAAGTCAGGGAACATCAGGGATGCACTGTGTACTGCTAAGAGTTCACACAAACTTGGGGAACATTTTACACTGGAATTTTAATTGGCAGTAGTGGACCCTGTGACCAGGCCATCCTTGAGAACACAGATCCCCCAAGACAGGCCTATTCCCCAGTGCTGAGAGCCATGAGTGGAATTTGGAGGACTTGAAGCTTGTGAGTGGTTCACTACTGGACCACAGTGGGGACCCCAGATCTTCTGGGAGATGGGCTAGCATCTCTCCCCACTCTGGGCTAGATTCAGTGCCTAGAGAAAGCTGTGAGCATGGGAAACATAGTGGGCACCAGTATCGCCTCAATCCATATGAGGAAGGTTGTGGTTGCCCCTTAGATCTATGGCAGTCAGGGACGCATGACTGGTTGTGGAAGTGAGCGATGGTCCTGCTGCCGGATGCCTATAATCCGCCTCACCTAAGTCCTCAGAGAAGTTCAGAGGGTCACGTGGAGAGTGTCCAGGAGTCATGTCACCAAGATAAGAGGAGGAAGTATCTTAAGGGGAAGCTAAGAAGATGGAGACTGGAGAGATGGCTCAGTGGTTAAGAGCACTGACTTCTCTTCTAGAGGACCGGGGTTCAATTCCCAGCACCCACATGGCAGCTCACAGCTGCCTGTCTGTAACTCAAATTCCAGAGAATCCAACACCCTCACACAGACGTGCACACAGCCAAAACACCAAGGCTAGTAAAAATAAAAATAAAAATAAAGAAGACGGTAACTAAAAGCCACACAGAATCCTGAGTGACAAGACAAGGGTGTGTGGCTGAGAGTGCTGGGCAGCACAGGTGTGTTCTGAGGCTGTCGTGGGAGCTGGTGGAGGGCTGAGGGACACCAGAATGACCTTGTAGCTCTATTACTAACCTAAATCTCAAATAAGCTTGTTTTTAAGAAAACGAACCTTGGGAATCTACATCTAGCATAATGCCTTTTTGAAAAGACGTGCATAGAATAGGTATTTTGCCTGCATTTTTGCCGGCTGAGCCTGTGTACCCATGGAAAGCAGAAGAGGACATCAGATCTGCAGCTGTGTAGGTAATACAGAAGGACCAGAGAAGTTACAGATTTTTATGAGCCACCGTGTAGGGGCCTGAAATCAAGCCAGGGTTCTCCGGAAGAGCAGCCAGTGCTCATAACCACTGAGCCATCTCTCAAGTCCCTAGCAAGATATACTTCTTTATAAAATGAAAAGCAAGTAACAATTAAAGCTCTGCTTTTTATCTTTTTTTTTTTTTTTTTTTTTTTGGTTTTTCGAGACAGGGTTTCTCTGTGGCTTTGGAGCCTGTCCTGGAACTAGCTCTTGTAGACCAGGCTGGTCTCGAACTCACAGAGATCCGCCTGCCTCTGTCTCCCGAGTGCTGGGATTAAAGGCGTGCGCCCAGCTGCTTTTTAACTTTTTAATTTATTTTGCATGTATGGGTGTTTGGCCAGCATGTATGCCTGTACACTGTGTTTGACCCTGGTGCCCATAGAAGCAATAAGAAGTTGTCAGGTCCCCTGGAACTAGAGTTACAGAAGTTTGTGAGCCACTGTGTGGGTGCTGGGAATCAAACCTAGATCTTCTGAAAGAGCAGTGCTTTTAATCACTGAGCCACCTCTCCAACCTACCAACCTGCTTTTTTTTTTTTTTTCTTTGTAGCCCTGGCTAGCCTGGAACTCACTCTGCAGACCAGGCTGTCCTCAAACACATAGATCCATCTGCTTCTGCATACACAGTTCTGGTATTAAAAATGCATACCACTACATCTGGTCTATTTTGTTTTGTTTAAATTTTTTATATCGTTATTTGTCTTTATTGTACACATGTTTTGACTTTGTGTATATCTGTTTGCCATGTGTGTACGTGGTCCCAGCAGAGGTTAAATAAGAGGGCATCAGATTCCAGAACAAGAGTTACAGACGGTTGTAAGCCACTCTGTGCACGCTGAGGATTGAACCCACGGCCTCTGTAATGTTGTTTTATTTTTTGAAATAGAGTTTCATATAGCCCGGATTGATTTAACTTCACTATGTAGTCCAAAAAGCCCTTGAACTGTTCATCCTCCTGCCTCTATGTCCCCAGCCCTGGAATTACTGACAGACACTGCCAAGCCTAGTTTATATGGTACTAGGGCTTGAAGCCAGGGTTTCATGTGTGGTAGGCAGGCTTTCTACTAATTGAGCTACATACCCAATCCAGTTTGTTTGTTTCTGAGTTTTTGACCCAAGCCATGTAACCCAAGCCTCAAATTGGCTAGGAGGGAAGATGAACTTGAAATAGGGTCATCCCACCTCCATCTTCTGAGTGCTGGGATTACAGGCATAGGACACTAATGCCTGGGTTTTTTGCTTGTTTGTTTTTCTTACATAGGGTTTTAATATGAATCCCAGGCTGGTCTCAAGTTTTTCATCTTCCTGCCTCAGTAGCACAGTAATGTGGTGCATCTTTAGGAACACCCACAGATGGAATAAAACTACACTATCAGCTGGGTGCTGGTGGCAGCGATGGTGCCGCACACCTTTAATCCCACACTCAGGAGGCAGAGGCAGGCAGATCTCCATGAGTTTGAAGCCAGCCTGGTCTATAGAGTGGAGTTCCAGGACAGCCAAGGCTACAGAGAGAAACCCTGTCTCAAAAAAACAAAAACAAAACGACACTACCAATGGAGGGGGCAATGGGTGCCTCATGGTCTCTGTCTCAGTGGGTGCTGGGTCTTGGGTTCTTGGGACTTCATTTACTCTCAACAAACAAGGTGCTTACGGACTAAAGTTAAGTGGCAGTTGGGGCTTTTTCCCTGAGGGCGTGGTCTGCAGGAAGCAGGGAGGGAGAATTGGGGATGTGGGGGCTGCCAGGCAGGTTGGAGTAGGTTGCGCTTTCCCAAACCTGATGGAGTAAGGGCCGAGGGAGGGGTTGAATGGGCAGACACATTGGCTAAGAAGACGGCATTTCGCAGATGCTGAGGATGCCAGTTTTGTAGTGCATGATGTGTCCCTTGGCTCTGTGCACATGGTGATACAGTTCTGTCCATGCCCCTAAAAGCAACACACAGGGGTCGGTGGAAGGTCTCCAGAGGGATTCCAGAATGGCAAGGACCTTGTGGCTCCAGTGTCCCAGAAGTAGGTACACTCAGGTACCTTCTAGGCACCTGAGCCAAACGAAGCTGTTTCTCTGGCTGTTCAGCAGGCTGGGATGCTCTTCTCATAGACACTGAGTCTTGTTACCAGTTCCCGGTGCCCATCTTCAGTGACCCCTGCCTCTATCCTCACACTGCATCTTACCATCCCTGAAGTCACCCCAATGCCAGGTCTGGCTCCTGCTTCCCCTACCCAAGCACATTCCTTCTACCTCCTCCAGAGAGTCTCACCATACTGCTCCAACAGGCCAGTTCAAGAGCTGCCAGGTAAAATACAGGCCACCCAGTCGTGTAGGAATTCCAGATAGACAAACAGGCTTTGGGATGGGCATGGTGGCACACGCCAGAAATTCAGAGGGTGGTGGTGAGTTTGGGGCCAGCCTAATCTACATAGCAAGACCTTGTCTCAAAGCAAAACAAAATGAAGGAGTTTTGTTTGTTTGTTTTTAAGTATAAGTATACTTATACTGGGAGGGGGAGTTATTTATCTGAAATCCATTTTAACCTAAGGTGCTTTGTTTTATTTGCTTGTTCATTTGTCTTGTTGCTGAATCTACATCCTATTTTACCCCCGTGAGAACACAGACACACACTCATATATACCCAAGGAGCTTCTGGTTCGAGGATGGGCTGGTGCTGCCTCTGCCTGTATCTCCATCTAGCTGCTGGAGGAAGCACAAGCCTCAGAACTTCATCTTGTGTGCACACAGACTCGTGTGCTATACTTTGCAGTTTACCAGGGATCCCAAGGGGGCGTGTCTGTCTGCTCCCACCCTCTCTCCCTCTGACAAAATTCCCCAGACTTCTGGGCTCTCTTGGCTTCCCATCCACTTCCCACAAAAACCTGTATTCAGGTATTGTGGGCAGTATTGGAAACTTCTCCAGGAGAGAAACCTACACTAGAGCTGCAAGACAGGGTGAACACCCATGTCTCCACTTGGGACATCTCAACCAACAGGATAGGTAGTCAGGGGACCCTTATGTCCCTGGCACCCAGCCTAGTAATCCACCCACCACAAGGGCTCAGCAAGTGTCCTAAGGGATGTCTTTGACTTTGAACCTGGGCAGGTGTCCTCTCATGCTTTCCTTTCCATATGCAAGAATTATCTGTGTGGAACCAAAGTGTTAAAACGTCTGGAACAAGCCGGGCGGTGGTGGCACACTCCTTTAATCCCAGCACTCAGGAGGCAGAGGCAGGCGGATCTCTGTGTGTTCGAGGCCAGCCTGCTTTACAAGAGCTAGTTCCAGGACAGGCTCCAAAGCTACAGAGAAACCCTGTCCCGAAAAAACAAACAAACAAACAAAACCCCCCAATTTAAAATATACGTGTTTTTAAAAAATGTCTTCCCACACCCAAAAATGTCTGGAACAAACTAGAGTGGAGATGAGACCTAGGACAGAACTAGGAACCTATAGGACTTGGGAATCTAAACTGAGACAGATCCTAGGGAAAAGGAGATTGTCTACAAAGCATACCTCTGAAGGCTGGACTCAGAGGCTGTCTCTAGTCAGCCAAAAAAAATTAGACTAGAAAGCCCCTTCCCACTAGAGATTGTGCAGCTTTGGAACAATTACCTGGAGCCTCATGGGGCTGGGGATGTTACTTCAGTCAGTGTAGCTGAGGTCACTCTGGGCAGGACCACTATTTATATATACATGGCAATGCAATATATGTATAGCTGGGGGCTGCACCAGCTTTTAGCTGCCACCACAGCACAGGGACAGTGGCCAACCTATCAGTTAGCCCAGAGATCCCTTAGTTAGCCCTGGTTCATCCATTTCCAGCCCATAGCAAGACAGGTCCAGACACCAAGTTCTGCATTCATGCATTCTGGGCTTACCAACCCATCCATGGCCACAACACGCAGACAGGTCAGGCAGTCCAGGGCCAGTGTGTACAGAGCCACAGGGCCACATCTTGCTGGTCCCCAGTGGATGATGATACTCATGAGCATCTTGGGACGACCTTGGGTTGTTAGTGTTGGACCAGCTGGTGAAGGTACCTTTACCTCCAGCCTAGCCGCTTGCTCAGTGTTCCTGAAATATTCAAAACCTCTGGCTGCTAATCCATTGAGTTTCACCTCCAAGAAGCTGTGTGGCCTCCTGAAACTCTGGGATACCCAAGGCAGGGGCAGGGATGAACCAAAACACTCAGCAGGAGCCGTCAACCTTCAGTGCCAACTTTGCCATATACTAGCCAGACTAGGATTCAAACTTAGGAAGACAGATACCCTGGCTCTGGTGTGATCAGCCCTCTCAGAGACTCGGTTTCCTCGCCTATAGAATCTAAGGATATCACCTCTTCAATAAAGAACCCTGACAGTATACGTGGACAGGGAAAGAATGAAGAAAGTCACATGCCCAGGCACTAAGGTTTCTGCCATTTTACCCAGCCCCTCCCACCCCCAGTCTTGCAGGCCATACACAGTGGACTGGGGCTCATCTAGGTTCAGGGCTCATCTAGGACCCCAGCTCCTTGTTATGGACACAGGCCACTCCTCCAGGGAGTGGGACACCATAGCACCTAAGGAACCTCCTTTTGGAGATCAGCAGTGCAGAGAGCCAGAGCTGGGCAGTCCTGTTCCCTACTGTCCATCTCCTCTCCACCTCCTGGTCACTACAGACAGAAGGTACAGATGTGCAAACACCCGCCATTCGTCTCCAAAGCAAGCCTGACCTGTGGGTACATGCTATACATACAGGACAGCATCCCAGTCACACGCAAAGGACATGTGAACCTCACTTCCCACGCCGTTTGTGGCCCACCTGGCCCTAAGGTCATGTTTACCTCCCTTGCTAGGGCTCCAAGGCCTACATTACTCTTCAGTTTCATTATCCACAGGGAGACCCACCAGCTCCACCACCATGTGCAACATAGAGGCCACCTCTACTGCCCAGGGGTCTGCTTTCCCAAACCCACTGCCTTCCGGCCACCATCTCTGCTTCCTCTGTCTCCTAGGAACTCCCGAGGCCTCTGTCTCTCTCCACATCTCTCCTTGCAGCTGACTGTAACCACCTGTCTTCCATCAGTCCATCCCTTTGTGTGCCCGCCATCTGCTCATCCCTAGACACTAAACAGGCGATTCATTCCGTGTTCTCAGTGCTGAACCCTGGAGGGTGGTGCCTGGCGTGGGTGCACATAGGGACTGGAGTCACGTCTACCTGGTGGGAGCGATGGTCCCAGTCTTTACCTCGTAAGGCAAGAGATTAGCAAGAGGGGAAGGGGGTTGGAGCGGCATTTCTGGGAGAGGGGAATGTGCGTGGGTCAGTCCTGAGAGGCAGGTTGCACCTGGAAGTTATACTCAGTTCTCAACCCTTCAGAGACTCAGTAGCTAATGCTCTCAAGAGCTCAGTACAGTGAGATCACTCAGCAGATAGAGGCACCTGCCAACAAGCCTCATTTTGATCCCTAGGACCACACGGTCAAAGGAGAGAACTAACTCCAAAGAGCTGTCCTCTGACCCTCCACATGCGTGTCCTGACAGGACTCAGTCCTCAACATGCCTGGGAACTTGGTAGTCACTCTTCCTGGTGACTAAGTCCTCAGCGCTTCCATTCTGTAGGAGTATAAAGGGCAAGGGCAGAGCTGCCAGGTGAGGGTAGTAGCTTACAGAAGCCAGAGCATGGAAGCTTTCATGGACTTCAACAAAAACAATGGAGAACCATGGAAGAAATTTACACAGTGGAGAGCAGGCTCAGCTCCAAGCAGGAGCTGGAACCACCAAGTCCCCTGAGGACCAACAGGAGCTGGGACCACCAGGTCCCCTGAGGACCAACAGGAGCTGGAACCACCAGGTCCCCTGAGGACCAACCAGGAGCTGGGACCACCAGGTCCCCTGAGGACCAACAGGAGCTGGGACCACCAGGTTCCCTGAGGACGGAAAGGCTCATACTCTCCCTTTGCATCACCAAACAGCTTGGAAAAGAGGCTGGCAGGGGGGCACTGGGGCCAGGCTAAGGGGTGTCTATGTGCTGCTGGCTTGAGAAGGCAGTTCCCAGAGCTGGGTTCTGGGAGGCCCAGCGAGAGGACTGAGTAAAAGCAGAGGGAGCAGCCACCCACACAGCCCGCTCTGGTAGGCCTGGTGCCTGAGTGGGAAACTGGTTTCACTCTCTACCTCGCCCTTCCCTCCTCCCTGGGGAGACCAGTGCTGGTCTCTGCCACAGGTGGCCTTTCGGTTGACAAGAGAAGTGATGCTTTCCAAAAAGCACCCCCCAAAACACACACACACACACGCATGCACGTGCACATACATGCACGCATACACACACACACACACAAACACACATGCATGCACGCACATACACACACAAATCTCACCTTCTGCTCTATACCTAGGCTTCGAGTTCGGCATTAGAGCTGGCCCCTGCTTGGAGCGTGGCACACAGCTGCCTAGGCCAGTCTATCATAGTGCTCATAGTCCCTCCCTCTCGGTGCAAGCCCTAGGTCTGGGGGTTCCACCACAGCATCTCGGTCCTCACCTTGCACAGACAACGCTGGCAGAAAAACCCTAAGTCACACACTCACAAAAACCTTAAGCCCAGCCCTGGAGTCTCCAGAATTCCAAGATAGGGCTACAAAGCGACTTCATTCCCCATAGGTCTGGATCCAACTCTAGCCACATTCCCCCTGGATGGCAGGTTGTTGGGAACTGCCTGCCACCTTCCAAGGAAGGGTGGCACCTGTAGGGGCTGAAGGCATGTCCCTTTAGAACCCAGGCTCACCTGCATGTTGGTGGCTGGTCGCTGAGTCAACGTGGGGCTCTGGATGCTGGTGCTGGCAGGTATGAGAGTGGCTGCCAGGCTGCCTGCTGTTACCTGACTTCCGTGTGTGATTTGCCCCGCCCTCTCCTCCGACAGCTTGCCCTAGTGTGCGGAGGAGGAGCCAGCCGCAGACCCGCCAAGAAAATCCAGCAACCCCAATATCTTCCTTTCAGGGGTGAGGTGGGGCAAGAGGGCAGAAAAGCACTGAACTACATCTCGATCCCTATCATCCTCCCTGCAGGCATGCATTGACTGTAAGGTGGGGTCCGTGACACCTGCCCCCTTCCAGAAGGGTAACATAGATGACTTAACAAACAGGTACTCAGTAGCACCTGTCCTCAAGACATCTGCAGAGTTCATTTCTGACCCTTCAAATGTACTCTTGACCCCCGAGGGAGGAAAGCGGGGGAGGGGACGGCAAGATAGATCCCAAAAGGAACTCTCTTCTCACACCTGGGCTCCTGAAACCTTGAAGTCTTGGCCCTGAGATCATGAGCCCTGCTGTGAAGCCTGCAAGGAGGCAGCTGCTGGAGAAAGCTATGGGCAGCCTAGGAGTAACCAACAAGCGTGAGCAGCCTGAGGACACTGAAGCTGGCAAGGGGTGAACGGCCTCCACCAGGGAGGGGACAGAGGACACTGAGCTGTAAATGCCATTATAGACATGACACCTGCCAGGTCTGAAAACCAATAAGAAGCTGAGGAAACAGGAAGGAGGCTGATAGTCAGGACAGGATCTCTGAAGGTCTCACAGGGTGGCTGGCAGCCAGAAGGCACCCAATGTCACCTGCTCAACACTGTGTCACCATGTTTTAGTATCCTGCAGTTCAAACATTGAGCTGATGGATACTTGCTCAGGGTTCTCAGAAGAGTGACATGCTCCTACTTCTGCATAGTGGCAGCCACAGGCTCCGGGATCGAATTGTGAGTGGTCAAAGAGGAAAAAAAAAAAAAAAAAAAAAAACCAGAAACCAGGGAAGGAGAAAGGAGAGGGAGAGAGAGCAAACTGTGTAACACTCTTTGTCACTGTCCTATTGCTTTGAAGAGACACCATGACCAAGGCAATTTTTACAAAAGAAGACTGGAAGCCTGGCGGTGGTGGTGCACACCTATAATTCCAGCACTTGGAAAGCAGAGGCAGGCGGATCGAGGCCAGCCTGGTCTATAAGAGCTAGTTCCAGGACAGCCAGGGCTACATAGACAAACCTTGTCTCAAACAAACAAAAAAGAAAGAAAGAAAGAAAGAAAGAAAGAAAGAAAGAAAGAAAGAAAGAAAGAAAGAAAGAAAGAAAAGCAAGCTGGGGGTTTACTCACACTTTCAGAGGTTTAGTTCATTATCATCATGGCAGGGAGCACTACCACAATGTACTCTATTGGTACAGTAGCTGAGAATTACATTTCGATCCCAAAGCAGAAAGAGAGAGAACCCCAGAGACACACTTCCTTCCCCAAGGCCACACCTAATCCTGCTAATCCTATCAAAAAGCTCCAATCCCTGGTGTAAGGAATGAAGCCAGTCCGGAAGGATATACTAGCATATGGGTAACGAATGGAAATGGTAGTGACTTACACACATTCCTGTATTTTCTTTCCTAAGAAGGAAGTCCAGAGTTGGATAATGAGGACTAATACGTTCACTCCATAATTTTCAAGGGCCCAGGTTTTCTTTACTAGGCTTTGCCACCTTAAACTCTTGGTCTTTAAAAGGCAGCTGTTGAGAGACAGAAGGTAAAAAGAGGGGTTTTATTCATAGCAAGGGGGCATCATGTCACCCACATGTGTGGATGGACAAAATGCCTACCGAGGGAAATGGGAGGTGGCCCCTTACAGGGGTGGAAATTACTTCTGTAGTCTGCAAGGGATGCTGGGATGTGTAGTCCTTCAGCAGGGAACTGTCATTTCTCCCTAAGAAAGCTGCTCAATCGTCTAGTATTGCATCCACACGCAACTAGAAGAAAAAGAGAAGAACGGAGGGTACTCCATCCCTTCACATGTCTGGTCACATAACTATACAAAGGCAAAGAAGCCTGGAGAATGTGCTCTGTTTTCCTAAGGAAGAAAGTAGGACCCTTCAGTACCTAGCAGCCTCAACCTACAGACAGTCTCAAACAACCAGTAAGAGAATCTGCAAAGGTTGAATCCAAACTAAGACCCATACATACTACAGCTGTTTGTCTTTCTGCCAGGTCCCACTTGAACCTGCCCAGGACACGGGCTCCCCACCCCATCCTCTCTATTTCTTTCTTCTTTCATTGTCTGAGATGAAGTTTCACTAAAATTTACTATAGAGCCCATACTGGCCTGGAACTTGCAGTGTTCCTCCTGCATTAGCTTCCCGAACTCTGGGATTTCCAATACGTACCACCAACCAGGCAGGAGCCTAAGATTTAGTGGGCGAAACAAACTATGTTTACTCAGATTTTTCCTGTTATTGAACATCTAGATGGTTTACAGTCTTGGATACAAAAGACGTTACAATCTTGGATACAAAAGACATCTCTCTCTCCGAGAGAGAGAGAGAGAGAGAGAGAGAGAGAGAGAGAGAGAGAGAGAGAGAGAGAGAGAACAGTTATAGGAAGCAAGGCTAACATGCATCACCAGAAACAGTTCTGAGGCTTTTGATCAGTCTTGGGGACTGATGTCTAAAAAAGACTGGCTCAACTTCTCTCCAGATCGGAGTGCTAAGAACGGCTCCGGCTGTATTCACTTCCCTGAATGTGGGCACTTCCACGAGATAGGTAAGGCTAGAGTAAGATCCTGTCTCTAAAAAATAAAATAAATAAAATTATGCTGTAGGACTGGCGTTTAAGTCAACCGCAGAGTGTGTGCCTAACAAACTAGAGGTCAGGGCTCCGTCCCACCCACTTCAAAAAGAAAAAAAAGAATACAGTTCAGGAGAATATAGAAATGCCTTTAGTGAAAAGCATGAAATTTCAACTAAGTTGAGAAATATGAAAATGCTGGAAAAGCAGGTTCACAAGTTGACATTTGTCTGTATAAGCTTAATTCATTGATTCTTCCCCATGTTTGTTTCTTTTACATTTTCTACCACATACACACACACACACACACACACACATTTGATGCTTACTATTAAATTACTTTATTAGCATATCATGATCTAGTATTACAAATCTTCTTTTCCCAGACTTGATGCATTCTTTGGTCTCTGTTCGGGGTGCAGCTGAGGTGGAAGGGGACCGGTCATGGATGAGGCCCTGCTGTGGTGTGGCCCAGCCTCCTTGGCTGTTGGTTGTGCTGCCCTGCCTTTTCAGGTAGAGAACTTTGGCCCAGGCCACATGAGGCTCCGGCTCTTCCCTTTCTACTCCTTCCTCATTTCTCCAGCTACAAATCTTGGTGCCTTCCAAGGGCTAAAGTACAAGAGGCACCTGCTGCTAACCAGGATCCAGCGGCCTCTCTGTGGATCAGGAGAACAAGGCCAGCAGGGCTCCAGAGAGCAGTGAAACTCCAGACAGGAGTAAGCACTGTCTGCTTTCCCCCTTGACCTCGGGACCTCCAACCCTTCTGGTATGTGCCTCTCAATCCTGATGACTTGGATATAAATATATTCTGATTTTCTGACCAAGCCTCTGAGTGGAACTGGGTGCCTCCAAGACCCTGCTTCCCATTCTCTCTCTGGGCTTCTTCCCAACCTTGTTCCTAACCATCTCTCAGGTCGCTTGCGTATCAGGTCTATTTTTTCTGAAGCAGGCCTTGTGTTTTTACAGATAGGGTGAGGCCTTCCTACAGGGACTCCTTGGTTTCTCTGCTTTGCTCCTTAAAAAAAAACCAAAACCAAAAGACTCTCAGGTGGCAGGTGTGCTGGGAATGAGTTTTCAGCTTTATAGATTTACCACACCAATAGAAACCACCCATTGTTCCCCTACACTACACAGGCTTTCTCTTTTTTCCTTGTAAGGGTATTTTTAGAGAACATTTCCGCCAGTGTTGTACTATTTCCCACCATCAATGTGACTCCCTGGGCCTAAGGAAACCTTGCCCTCTGATGGCAGGCCAGACCACGCCCATGTGAGCTTTGGCGCCCTCCTTCCCAGGGTAAGGCCGGAACTGGCCATTTCCTTTAAGCCCTGCCTGGCTCCAGAGTCTTGGGTCTCTGACATGAGGCTTCAAAGCTGAGAAAAGGCCACTTCATGTCCCACTCCCTAGGGACTGCAGGTATTCGCAGCCTGCAGACAAGATGGAGGTGAGACGCCGGTGCGAACCTACAAGCAGAGGGAGCGCCAGCAGAATCCTGGAGTTCAGGTAGAAGCTTCGTGATCCTGTAAAGTGTTGGGAGAGGAGGTCGCTAAAATTCCCGCGGTTCAGCATCTGTTTCTAAAACAAGGTGCAAAGATAAAACTCAAGAGTTGTGAAGACCTGTAAAGAGTTGGAAACTTGGGAGAATTTTTCCATAACAGGTCGCCAAACAGACGCAGTAATTCCTAACATTTGCACGTGGTCCGACTAAGAGTGGACGCGCCCTCCAAGACCACGCCCTTTCCGGTACTTGCACTACCCAGCGCCGAGGAGCTGCGGGACCCGGCCCCTAAGCAGTTTGGCTCCGCCCTCGAACCTCTCGCCCACAGGCCTCTCAGAGCCTGGCCACGCCCTTCGTCCCGCCCCTTGATCCCCAGCCCCGCCTACAGGCCGTCATCTCAGCCCACCCGAAACCCCTCCTCTTGTCCCTGGGCAGGCCCCAGACGACGCCCCCGAGCCGGCCAGCCCTTGGCTCCGTCCCTCGCCAAACAGACTGGTTGATTCTGTCTTTCCTCTCTGAAAATGTTGCAGCACTCCAGCAATGTCTCGGAAGAAGGATTGCGGTCCCTGCACAGGAGAAACACCCACACTAGGAAAGCTATCTCCCTTCAAGGGAACTCCGAAGGGAGTTACAAGAAGTGGGCGCTGGAGGATTGCTCGGAAGGAGCTGTCTTTGGGCAGGGTAAGCCTGCCGACCAGTGCTGGACTCTTACCTCGCGTGGCATGACATCACCTCCTCGCCAAATTGTTACAGGCCATTGTCTCAGTCCCAGACAAGGCAGTCTTGGCGCCGCCTACCCCATCACGCTCTCGGCTGCTTCAAGGCCCATTACAGAATGGAAACTGAGGCACAGCCCTGCCCTCTTTTGTAGCCCCGTATTGTCCAGTCGCACACTCAACGGTGTGTGCACCCAACACAGGGCCGACATACTGCGTGGGGCCATACCGGATCAGAGCAGTGGGCTGCAGGGGGCCCAGAGGCAAGCACTCAACGGAAGACTCACAGATCTGTGTGTCGGGCAAGGTTCAGTATTAAGGTGTTGAGTATTTTAACAAACTGTTAAAAGTTGTAAACATTGAAGCAGGCTAGAAAGACTGGGAAAAAAAGAGACATGGGAAGGGAAAGGAGCCCCTCCCTAGCTGAAAGTCAAGAATTCCGGCACAACTGACTTTTGTTGCGAAGACTGGCTGCATAGAAGCAATATGCTTCTTTTATACAGAAGTAATTTCAAATAACAATGTTAAAATAACAATGACCCATGCTTAAGCCCTGAATGTATATGACCTTAGAATTCTGCTGAGAGAATCCAAATGGAATCACTGTCAAAACCCTACTCAAATGAGGCTGAGGGTGATGATACCAGCCTGTAATTTCAAATAACAATGTTAAAATAACAATGACCCATGCTTAAGCCCTGAATGTATATGACCTTAGAATATGGGCTTACTTCTTTCCCACATTGGAACCTGAAAATTTCTGAGTTTCAAAGACAAAAGTTTACAGTAAAAACTCCATGCAGCTGGGCATGAGGTTGCATGCCTTTAATCCCAGCACTCAGGAGGCAGAGGCAGATGGATCTCTGTGAGTTCAAGGCCAGCCTGGTCCACAAAGAGAGTTCCAGGACAACCAGAGCTGTTACACAGAGAAACCCTGTCTTCAAAACCAAAACAAACAAAAAACCTCCACGCAACCCTTGAACCCTAGTGTTTTACCTTATCAGCTGCAATACTGTCCAGTACACATCAGGAGCGCTTTATGGCCACATTTAAATCCTTTAGCAACCCTTTGATATGGAACTTCAGATGACACCAGCACCTTGCATGGCCACTGTAAAGATATTTAAGGGGGACTGTCTGGAGAGACCCACATTCCCACTTGGGCGGGTACTTTCCTATTCCCTATAAGCCTGTTACCCACCCCCAATCATGTGTAAATTCTCTTCTTAATTAATTCCAAATTTACTTCATACTGACTCATCCTGAAATTTCCTAGGGTGTAGTAAGACGTCCAGTTTCGAAAGCCTTGGCATGGAGCTGTGTCTTCAGCCCATGGGCCAACTACTGCTGAGAGAATCCAAATGGAATCACTGTCAAAACCCTACTCAAATGAGGCTGAGGGTGATGATACCAGCCTGTAATCTCAACACTTGGAAGCCTGTGGCATTGGGATTGCTAGCCAGTCTGGACTACATGGTGAGTTGCAAGTCAGTTGAGGGGGTACCTAGGGAGACCCTGCCACAATAGAAACCTACCTAGGGCCGGGGAGATGGCTCAGAAGGTCAAAGTGCTAGCTGCACAAACCCGAGGACCCCAATCTGATACCTGGAACCCTTGTAAAAAGCTGCATTCTGTGGCATGCGGCTGCAATCCTAGTACTCCTGCGGCTGAGACGGAGAGGCAGACACAGGAGGAGCCAGCTAGCCTATAGTAGACCACCACTCTACTTGAAGTCTC